ATGTTGCCTGGGCTGGCCTTGAACTCAGTGGCCCTCCTGCCTCAGCCTCCCCAGTGCTGGGATTCCGGGTGAGTGCCACAATGCCCGGCTCTTATTTTGGTTTTAAAGTGGTTTTTATTCCTTCAGAAACTTGCCCACAATTTGTACAATTCAAAGTGCATCTTTCAGTGTGTCAGACCGTTGTTCATTCTTGGCTTAAAAAAGCGAATTAACTACTTTTGCTCTCATGCATGAGCACTTGTGATGGTGCCCAGAGACTTCTGCCCCTTCTCTGAGGAAGCTGGCTGGGAGCTACAATCTATGAATCTGCCTGCTGACCAAAGCTCCTGCTGGGCCTGCGTGTGAGCACAAGTTGGTGCTTCTTGCACAGTGGTTTCCACGTGAGCAGCCAAGGGGGTTCACCACCAGTCAAGTCAGCGTGCCACCAGGCAGACGGGGCCAGGGCCAGGACCAGCTCTGAGGTCAGCTTTCCGTCCCCTCCCTGGTCAGGCAGCGGGAAAACTCACCAGATCTTTGCCCTGTGTCTCCAAACATCCTAGTGCGGATTCTGGGCTCTCGGATGACAGCCCGTGAGCCCGTTACCCTGAGTCCCTCACCCACATCCACTCATTCCTGCCCTTGGGCACCTTCTCCCCCTTCCCTGGGCCCGGAATAACCCGCACAGCCCCATGGCTATGCCCAGCAAGAGCCTCGGAGGACAGTGCCCTTGGGTCCCTCTGCCACGGAGCCGGGAGATGCCGCTTTCGGAACTGCCTGCCAGAGGTGCTGTGCTTTCCCCCCCAGAATGCTGGCTTTGTCCCCCTGCAAACAAGGAGCCCCACAGCTGTAGTGTGGGGAATGAATTTTCCCCACAAATGATCTTAAGTGGTTTTCAAATAATTTTGTACCTTAAACAGAAGGGCAGGAAAAATAATCATTCCAGTTGACTTAGAGTTCCATGAATTAAAGGTTCTCACCTTATTTAAAAAAATAATGCTTGATGAGGTGGGAGTGTTGGCCCCATGTCTATAATCCCAGAACTCTGGAGGCTGAAGCAGGACTGTCTTGAGTTCAAGGACAACCTGGGCTACATAGTGAGACCCTGTCTCAATAAATAAATAAATAAATAAATAGATAAATGAATAAATAATAGTGCTTAAAGAAAATAACTCTTGTGGTTTGAACAAATACTCTGAAACTAAATAAAGAACACCTTTTTCAAAATAAAAGAAACAGTAATGCCAATTTTAAAAAGGCTGTTAGTGTCACTGTGGTTTATTGGTAAATACAAAGTATAGGCTATTGCATTTTTTAAGCAAAATCAAAGAGATTAAAAACCAAGTACACATATCTTCTTTCGAATAGAAACATAAATTAGTTTTAACAATTAGGCACTTAAAATGTAAATGTAAGACAGCATTTCAGAAGTATAAACTATAGTTATACCCCTAATTTCCTCTTGAAATGTCTTTGCAGGCACAAAATCACAAGCAGGGACAAGATATTTCTAAACAAAGATAATTTCCTTTAACAAAAAATAACCTGAACACAAACCCATACAACAAATCAACGATTAAGGTACTGGTGGGTAGGACAGAAGGAATTTCTGAAATTTACACATTTGATTAAAATGTAAGCATTTAATAAAACTATTACAATGGTGTATAGTAGGTATCATAATGAAATATATATGTCAGGAAAATAATGAATTCTAGGCTTAAAGTTTGACTTTATAACAAGGCACTTAACACATTGAAACAGTACAGTAAGTTTCCAAACGAAAGTAATTGGCCACCCCATTAGCCTTGGGGCGGTATTTCCTTTGTGGATACACTGTAACCTAACTGTACATCCTGCGGCACTCATCATCACAGGAGAGGTAAATTAAATCGTGACTTCCAACTCGTAAACTAGATTAGCTTATGTTTACACTCTCTTCTTCTAAAGGACAGTTTGTGTTTTTTTGGTACCAGGAATTGAACTCAGGACTTTGCACTTGCCAGGCAGGCGCTTGTGCCACTGAGTTATCTCCCCAGCCCCTAAAGGACAATTTTAAATAACTTGATAATAAAGCACTCTTCTCACTCATGATTCACTTAGAACACAATAGCATTAGAGTAATGAATAATAAAATATACCCGAACTTACAAGGTGTCTCTCTGTATAAAAACACATCTTTGGGTACCTGTGACATGATCTTCAGTGTTTGGATACTGAAGTCAAGAGCACTTCATAATAAAGGAAATATTTTTACCAGTGGAGTCAAAGGAGTTAAATTATTGCAACATAATGACATTAAAAGCAAAAATATCAGCAGCTCTTTATATATACAAATAGGAAGTCTTCAATACATGGCATATAAGTTATAATCTGCTTGATTTAAACATGTAAACCCATTAAGAAATTGCTTCTCATACTTTTTTTACACTATGGAAGTGTGTTAAGACCGGCTTCAAATCTGTAGTCAGTTTACAGTACAAAACAAAAATGATGGCAAAGAAAAAAAGAAATGTTCACGATATTGAAGGAGTAAGATGTGAATTTTCAATTTAAAAATGAAGTCTGTGAGTTCTAGCATGTAAATTTAAAGAAATGAAAGACAGCTAACAGAGATTCCCGGTAAACAAGGCATAGGTAGTTATAAAGGCGACATTAATGATTGTGATCCTGAGAGGTAAAAAACGGTCGCCGAGCTTTCCGTGATCCAGTGGATGAAAGACTAGAATCGCGACTCACTACAATCTGAGAACATCTTCCTTTGAGAAGGGTTTACAGGGTTTAAAATGTCTTCAAAATATGTCCTGGCCCAGGACTATGGACAAATCAGACAAATACATAAACAAAATGAAGCAAATACAAATGCCTTTTCATAACCTGAAAATACATTTTACTAAGTAGCACTTGTGTCCCAAGCCAAAGGACATCCTGCCACAAGGGGGCGCTGGGAACACAGCCAAGAACCAGCGCTCCAAGTGCCCTCGGACAGCAAGGTCTCTTTCCCAAGATGTCCTATATTAAATCGCAACTTCACACTGAGTTCAGGTGGGACTGGCAGAAGAATGCTTTCTTTTTAAATCTTGTGAAGGAGCTAAAAAAACAAATGGAATCTGAGAGAACTTATTTCCATTGGAAAGAAGTCAGGAAAAAATGTGGCATAATTTATAAGCATTACATGATGTAGATATTTCAAGGACAGAATTACAGGAAAGGATTCCATTCAGAGCACAGGCTCACAAAAACATGGGTCATGGGTAACAGCTGTATCGTGATTGGCAAGGAGACGGCATCATGAAAATTTACTGTTTCCAAGGCAACATTATAATTGCTTGCTTTTCCATGCCGAAGTGGCAGGCGGGTCGGTTAGGTCTCAAGTTTGCTCATTTTCTACATGTAGATGAGTATCATGATTTCTTCCTTCTGCTTGAAACTTTGACACTTTCCCCTTTTACTATCCAGCTACTCCTTTCTTGGCATCTACTAGACAGAGCACCAGGACACAGACGCAGAGGACACAGAAATAGCTGTGTCACGCGTAAGGGTCACAGAGACTCTGAGGTCCTTCAGGAGGAGCCCGTTATTTCTCTGTGACTAGATTAGCGGACTAAAGTGCAAGGCTTCCTGTGTCAAGGGTGTCCGATAATCAATACGTAATGATTTTCAAGGCTTCAGCAGTTCCCTTCTCCCATGGCAGGAAGTGGGTTATGTGGACACCCAGTGGGGCTCTTAGGTCCAATGGATTGTTCCTTTGAGTGAAGGGGCCCAGGGGCCAAGCCCCAGGCTTCAGGGCCCAAAGATTTTTCTTACACTCTGAAATCTGTCTGAAATCTGTGTCCAAGCAGAACATCTTGTTCTACCCCAAGTGTCACTGTTGGACAAATGTACACGGGTGGAAACTATATAGAATTATGTCTAAACATACCAGGTAGGCTAGATACATGTTGATTACTGGTTTATTTAGAAATCCTATGGGGAAATCCTTGGGTTTTAAAATCTGCCAAAGATGAAGGTTTCAATTCTTGTTTAAAATAACCAATTGGAAAGTCTTTCTTCCTGCCTCTAAATTCAACCACCCTTCCTTTAGTGATTCTTCTATTAGTGGAGAAAGAGCCACTCTGAACAGAGAGAATTTTAGCACCAAAGGATAATGGCCCTTCTGGACAGATCTGTATTGTGCCTTTTGCAAGCAATGTGAAGGTCAATTTGTATCAAGGCCAAGTGGTTTATTTACAATGATAAATCTAAGGAAATTTCACCTCCTGAAGAAGCAGAGCCACCTCTCCCCCTTCTCCCGGGTCTTACAAATTGGTGTTCGTGGAGTTAAGAGATTAAGCCAAGAATTATCCAAAAAACTCAACAGCACTAAACACTGCAGGAAATCTGACAGCATGATCCGATAGGATGTTTCACTGCCATCTTTGTTTTGCACCGCTTGAAAGAAAGTTAGGAACAGTTAGCCCCTTCCTGTGTCACCGTGCCATCAGACAGCACACAGGAAATTGGTCGTGTTGGACCTGCAGCCTCTGGCCAGCTTCGGCCACCGCACACAGTGGGTCGGGAAGAAGCAGTTTGCAGTGAAATGTGCCCAACAGCTTTCCAAGTTCTAGTCGGGGCACTGCGTGGGCCGGGGGAGGGGGGCACTGCTCTCGTCCCCCAGCGGGGTGGGTAACACAGCAGCCCACATGCCTGCGGCCTGCGCGGGGTCCCAGGGGCGAATGTGCCAGGCAGGCAGCATTGAGATGTATGTGAGGACCACAACCTTTACAGAAAGAGCCTCTGGCTCCCTGTGAACCATATTTATTTACTTATTTTTGGTGTTTTGAGACAGGTTCTCACTGTGTAGCCCAGGCTGGCCTTGAACTCACAGCAATCCTCCTGCCTCAGCCTCCTGAGTGCTGAGATTATAGGTGTGTGCCACCACACCCAGACATCCTAGAGATTTTAAATTGAAATATATCCGTACATGTAAAATGCATGGATAGATCAAATACTTCCAGATTTCTTTGGATCTTTTTTTTTTTTTCTTTAAAATGATCAGTTAAAAAGCAAAAAGAGTCAAAGTGATACCCAGTGCATTGGGCGGTGGCAGCAGAGGGCACTGCGGGACCTCACCAGGACCCTCCCCCACCCAGTGCCAGGGAAGAAAGGAAGTGCACTTGAACTCAGCCCCAGGCCCGCATAGGACCCCTCGAGGAGCCCTGGGATAAAGGCCCTCTCCCCAGACGCCCCATCCACGGACCCAGTGGCTACATAGACCCCGATCTTTTATTCAAAACATGAACAAATCCCTCTGCCCTTGGGAGGAAAAAAACAACCTGAAAGAACGCTGAAGTGCAGGGTTTCAGCGGAGAGAGAGGAAGACGGGGTACTGTGTTCTTTGGCACCTCTTTAACAAGCTCACCGTGAAAGCCCACTTCGGGGTTTAGTCCCCAGTGAACGCAGCTTTCTCAGGAGGAATCAAACAGGGTCAGGAGATCAACACTTCCTTGTCTCCCCAACCGAGCCTGCGGCGTGTGTTCCGCTTCTTCGCTCACAGTCAGTCCTCCAGAAACAAAGACGAATGTGGCTCTGCCTGTGGTCACAGCATGGAGGTCTCGCGGGGGCGCGGCCGCGGCTCAGGTGGACTTCTCATTGTCCTCGCCCGACTTCTGCACCCGGGAGTACTTTTTGCAGGACGACTTGAAGCAGCCAGGAGGCCAGGACAGCGGCCAGGAGAAGGAGCAAGGGATCGAGCCCTGGACGTTCTTCTCAAAAAAATAGAAGATGGGAAACCACCAGGCTCGGGACAAGAAGTTCGTCTGTGAGGACACCTTCAGGTTCTGGGAGGGGAGGAGAGAGGAGAGAGGAGACATCTTTGGTGACTTGCACTCAGGCTTTTCTTTTGTTGTTGTTGTGTTGTTTTGTCGGAGACAGGGTCTCACTCTGCAGCCCATGCTGGTCTCCAACTCACAGCAACCCTCCTGCCTCAGCCTCTCAAGTGCTGGGACTATGGGAGTGCGCCACACGCCCATCCTCAGGCTTTTCTTAATTAAGTGGTCATGCATGTCACTTCAGACTCCACGCCACGGGGGTAACTGTGGTCGCCCTGAGCCCTGAGCCCTAGCTCCTGGCCCTGTCTGAGGCGCATGTGCTCTCCACCGCCCGCCTGTGCAGGAGGAAGGCAGCTCGGGATGCACAGGGCGGTGGGTGGTGTTGCACGGCGTCTCCAGGTCGGGCGCACTCAGGGCAGGGGAGCAGGAAGGAGCGCTGGAAGCTAAACCCTGAAGAGCCAAGGTGGGAATCTCGGTGTGGCAGGGCCAGAGAGTCTGGACGGATGCGGTAGGAAGGACAGAAAGGGAGGCTGCAGAGCAGGAAGCAGAACTACCGAGCAAGCTCAGGAATCACGCAGCGCACCGAGAGACACAGCCCCGGCTCACAGAGCTGCAGACAGCGCTGCGCCAGCCGGCCAGCAAGCCCACCCAAAGAGCATCACAGCCCCGCCTACTCCGCCCCCAGAACGCAGCAGGGTGGGGCGGGAGAGGTCCACTGGGCCTGTGGAGGGAGGAGGAGTGCAGGAGGCTTCCCGGAAGCGGTGGCATCTGAGCAAGCTCCGTGAGAACGAGCAGAAGTCCAAAAGGCCATGCAGGGACAGCAAGAAGCAGAGACCAGGAGATAAGGGGGACAGCCACTAGGCCCCGATCTCCCAAAGAGGTGCTGTCCGTGGATCCCCAAGATACCTATTTTGCCTGATTTTAAAACGTAGCCGCCATCTGGCCCTCAAAGTTTTCTCCATCCTGTTCCCTCTGCCACCCAGGGCTGCCACGGACATGGGAGGCTCCTCGGTTCTGATCTAGCACACGTGTCCTGCGGTCCCCATACACTGTCGGGCGCCTCGCCACCTCTACCCCTGCACGCCTGGCTGGCGCACTTTGCTGGGGGCAGAAGTCCGGGTGCGGGGATGAAACTGCACACCTGCTCTCTACAGGGCGACTCCACCAGGCCACCCGCACCGCCTGCACGGAAGGGGCCTTGGCCCAGGAGAGGGGAGAAGGCCCCAGGACCCGGCTGCTCTCACCTTCTCATTGGCCATCGAGTGGTACCACCAGAACAGCCGCGTGGTGACATAGTACGCAATGATCACGTCGATAGTGTAGTGCTCGTGCGCTACGAGAATGCAGATGATCCCGGCAGCGCTCAGCAGCCAGCAGATCAAATGATACCACCAGAAGTGCCTCGGTGAATCTGGACGGCAGAGAAGGCACAGTTAGTGCGAGCCCTGGCGAGGGACTGGGTGCCACTGCCGAAGTTTGCTCAGGGGGCGCGGCCGCAAGGGTGAGGATCATCAGGGGCCGAGGGTGGTGAGGACGAAGCTGCCGGGGGAGGGAGGGGAGAGAATCATTCATTGGTCTGGCTGGACTGGCCCATGAGTGACACCACCAGGAGCAACAGCGAAAGTCAAAAGCAAAGGCTGCTATGAAAAAGGGACAAAGGGACCAGGGAGGAGGCAATCGGGGTTTTCAACTGACTTTTCTACACGTGCATTTGGAGGTGAGGGCGGCACTGTGGCGAGCTGTTTCTTGTGTTTTCTTGAGACAGGGTCTCGCCCAGCAGTGCAGGCCAGCCTCAAACTTGCGCAATCTCCTGCCTCAGCCTCCTGAGTGCTGGGATGACAGGTGGGCACCCCCACAAGTGTTCCCGACTCACCATACACTTAGTATTAACAGAGAGGCCAGTTTCTCCGGGCAAGTTTTATACGCCCTGGTGATATTTGTAGCACTGTGAGAAGCCAGCTCTAGGAAACCCACAAAATGGTCGCAGTCCCATGTTTTCACGTGGCCTCACAACTAAGTGTCAGTCCCCACATGATACAGCACAGGCAAGGAGTCCGGGCTGACCATGGTGGGAAGAGTAGCCCAGCACTCAGCCCAGGTCTCTGCGCAACGATGCTGCCCCACTCAGACGGCGACTGCTCAGGCCCCAGCGAGGACGGGGAAGCCCCGTCCACGTGCAGAATTCACTGTGAGCTCGACTCAGGTTTACGTGTTACAGACTTGCCGTTTTCTCACCAAAAATTAGAAAACCCAAAACAGAACTGTTTCCGTGTTACACGCCAACTTACACACCTTAAAAACTGCCCAGTCAAAAACGTGTGCTGGGGGAAGAAAAACCTCTCTTTGTCACACGTGACCTTCAGCAAGTATAAAATTCATCCCAAGTTTTGAGGCTACTGCTGAGGTGGCAGAAAGGACAATGAAAAAGATGCCCTGCTCATAGGTCAGAGGCCTCCTCCGGGGGATTCTGTAAGAAGCACAACTTCCGTTTCCACAGATTGCAGATCAGCCCAGCGTGGCACCAGCGCTCCGCACTTGGCCTGCTCAAGCCCGGCCCCGATCCTCCGCAGGCTGGGGAGGCACGCAGCCCAGCCACTCTCCGCTGACACCAAGAAGGACAGGGACGGTCCTGCCTCCATCGCAGGGGGCCACAATGGTTAAATAAGTTAACTTGCATCAAAGGCTTAAGTTATGCCTGGCACAGAAGTAGGGCTGCTCTCTAGATGCCATTATTATTGAGTTAGGGTCATGCTATATATTGCCCAGGCTGGCCTCAAACTCGCAGCAACCCTCCGGCCTCAGCGTCCTGAGTGCTGGGATTGCTGGTATGCGCCACCATGCCTGACGTAGATGCTATTATCTTTACGGCACTTGGTCCTAGGTATTTTTAAAAACTGGCCTTAAATGTCCTGGTGTTTTCTTTCTGGTTTTCAGTCCCCCTGCTTTTTTGCTCACACGCAGCCTTCTTCCCACCTCATCCTCTTCTATCTGCTTCTCATGCCCCTCAGGCAAGAGAGCATCTGCAGCTGGAGGTCCCCTGCCCTGGAGAGCACCTGAGCTCCCATGCAGAGAGACGCTCCCCAAGCAGATGGGAGTTGGCCGCCAGGACCCGGCACACATCCAGACCAGGGCTGGTGTCAGAAAGGAGCAGCTGGATTGGAAGAGGCGGCCACGCCAGTCTGCAGAGCTCGGGGACAGGGTGCACAGGCGGCCCTGACGCCAAGGTGCATGGCCCGGCTTCCTACCCATGTGGGGTGATGCCAGGCCAGGAGAGGGCCCCATCTGCACCGAGGTGAGGAGAACCAAGCTGACCCCACACCCACGTGCCTGGGCACCCACAGTGGCCAATGGATGCTCGCTCTGAGAAGACAGGCACTGCTGCAGGGACTGGGCCTGGTGGCCACAGCTCATAGGACTACAGGGGGGACCTGTGGGCAGCTAAGACCGAGGGCAACCTGACACCCTGACACCAGTAAGGGCTCCAGAAGACACAAGGTCTGCACCAGGGAAACTGTGATGGATCTGAGGCTTGGGCGCCTCTGCCATGGTGTCCTGGCCACGTGTCCCCAGAGCAACTGGGAAGGGGCCCCTGGCCAGGGCAGGGCAGGGATCGCCAAGGGAGTCAGGCAGGACGAGGATGGAGTGCTGGGCAAACGTCTCGGAGCCACTGCGGCGGGGAACTGGGTTTCTTTGTGCCAAACCCTGCCGCTATGCTCCCCCAGCTCCAGAGCGAAGACGGCTTCTCCACCTTGATGTTCACTAACAAGGGAGGCAGCTCGTGTTCAGGGCTACAGAGGAGCCACGGCCAGTGTGCAAATGACAAATGACGAGCTGAAGTCACACGCGCGGGCACGCCCAACGTTCACTTCTGAGTCTCACACTCGTGTACCCCAGCAGAACCAGGGCTCGGTGGCTGCACACCCTGGGCCCCATCCACCCGCCGGGCGTGAGCGGTCACTTACACTCTTTGATGAACAGATATAGCAGCGTCATGGTCACCGTGTGGCCGCTGAAGAGGAAGTCGCCGCACAGCATGTGTGACCCGGTTATAGAGAGTCCACCGCCAGAGATCAGCCGGAGAATCCGCTGTATTTTGGCCTGCGAGTCCCCATTTAGCTGCACAACACAGGGAGATTGGGAAGACGGGTTACAAGCTGCTAAGATCATGGCGTGGGCTGATTTGCAGGACCCCCTCCCGCATCACCCCTTTAACCTTAAAAGCAAAACAGAACCCAAGGAGAAGTTCCTCGCCCAGATCCTCAACATTCCAGTGGCAATTTTTATGGACACATTTTAAATTATTTACTGCGATGCTAATAATACCTTTGGGCGGTGCTGTGTCCCTGGGCAAAGCCTTCAGAAATATTAATAACCAATGACTTCACCACAGCTATGCACCAAAAAGCCCATCAAAGCTGCTTTCTTCCTTTGTGCAGAGGAAGTGAGGGTGTGGGACAGGCAATATTTGACCCTGCTGCAGGCCACACTATCAATGTCTCCTGCTGCTGGGGGCCACGTTGTAAGCGGGCAGTCCAGGTACGAGTGCAGCTGGATTCAGGTCTGACAGGAACGTGTGCAGTTAGAAAGTGGAGCTGCAACTCATTAAATAATTTACGTAGGTTTGAAAATGATGAATTAGGAGTGGACCAGCAGCTTTAAAAATCAATAGCTCTGATCAGGAAAACACCCATCGAAACCTATGTGCTGCGGTGGAGGCCAGGTCAGACCAGGCCAGGGTCCCTGGTCAAGGGACAAAAGCCAGGAGAAGCCGCTGCAGGGAGGAAGGGACATCGATGGGCAAGGGCAGGGGTTTCAGGCAGTGGCCAAAAATATATGTCCTGTCTGTAATTCCAGCACTCAGGAGGCTGAGGCAGGAGGATTGCCATGAGTTTGAGGCCAGCTTAGACTACATAGCGAGACCCTGTCTAAAACAAACACAAAAACCAAAAAACCCTGAGAACGAGGTGCTACATATAACACAACCGGATCAGAGGTCAGAGGAGGACCTGGAGACTTCAAAGAAGCATCACATGCTTCCCAAGTGTGCAGACCGTGGGCAGCATCACACAGCTCACTCCGGGCACGCCTAGGAAGACACGTCACAGACTGCGCCACCCCCAGCCACAGCCCTGGTGCCAAGGGGAAAGCGAGGCAGCAGCCTCATCGGATCAGCCGCAGGCCGAGGCAGCGCTCTGGCACGAAGTTTGCCCAAGCCATCAACACTGCGCTCAAATAACAAGGGGCGCACTCTGCCCGCCACTGTGTCCCCCCTGCAAGGGACACGTTATTTACTTCAGATCCATGCTGCTGCTCTCCCTCCACTCAGGAGGCCCAAGGGTGCTGGCACAGCCTGAGGCAGGAGCGCTTCTGCCAGCGGCAGCATCACCCAGGGTCCGGGCCAGCAGAGGTCCCAGCAGGCTCGGAGTAACAGCAGTGCCACCCCCTCTCACTGAAACCTAACCCTGTCCCCGCAGAGGGGCCCCGGTGTCATCCCAGCTTGTGCCAACAGGCGGGAAAAAAGCAAGGACACCTCCAAGTTTGCCTCAGGAGTGCTTGTGGCTCAGTTTCCCCTCACACACTGGCCGAGGTGGCTTCTGAAAACTGCGTCTTGCAGGAAGAGCAGTGTTTCATCTGCTGCCTGTCATCCCCGCCATTCACCCGCACCCGGCCCAGCGGCCTCCCTCTGTGGCCGCCACTGCCCAGAACATGCCCTGGACTGCCCCACGGTGTTTATGATGCTTCCACCTCCTCCCTGCCTCAAATTAGCTTCACTAAAAATCAGCCCATGTTTAAACTCAATGTGGACACAGTTTTAATTATGGACACCGTCTACTTTGATGGCTCCTGGAAATTACACTGCTCCATCCACACCTACATTTGGTGAGGGGGACAGCCGGCTGCCAGGACCAGGACGGCTCTGTTCTTCTCTCACCTTGGGCATCTGCTCAGGGCGCCCTGAAATATGTGGCTGGGCTCACACCTTCTCCCTGGGGTAAGGGGGCGCGGTCTGCATGCCTCTGCTTCTATAAACCTGGGCTCAGGGCCGGTGAATGGACTCTATATGGAGAAACTTTGGCTCCTGCCTGGGTGGGGCTCAGGGCCCAGCCCCCCGCCACCTCCCAGCTAGAGGCCGGCCCAGCGTCCAAAGGCTAGAAGCCCCGGGGGGACCCTTCTGTCTCAAACCCACATCCAACTTGTAAGCACTTTCCATGGGTCCCACCTTTCACATGCATCTGGAATCCGATGACTTTCTGGCTGGATTTGAACTCAGCCTGAACTCCAGGCTGGCGATCCTCCTGCCTCAGCCTTCCAAGTGCTGAGATGACAGGTGGGCGACCCCACACACGGCCTCCCCTGAATCCAGCATGACACAGCTCTTTTCTCACCTGGCGCTCTCACCCCATTCCTATAGCTCCTCCCACCCTCAATCACCCCCATCCCCAGCCTTTCCCCGGGGTCTTCGAGCAGCTGTTCCTCCTGACCCGGCCAACTCGGCTTGTGGCTGAGCCTGTCACTCCTCACCCTCACAGAGCAGAAGCTCAGGGTGGCTTTGTTTGGGTTGCTCAGTGCTGGGACATGAGCTCAGTGCTTGTAGAATGAATACGTGAATGGAACAGTAACTCAGAAGGTGAAAAAGCAGAGTCAAAAGCCAGGCCTGGTGGCGCACACCTGTGGTCCCAGCACTCAGGAGGCTGAAGCAGGAGGATCGCCACAAGTTCAAGGCCTGAACTACATAGCAAGACCCTGCCTCAAAAAAAACAAAAATCAGCAGAGTCAAGCAACGGCAACCGTCAGTTAGCAGAAAACAAATCTGTATTTACAAAGATGTACATTTTTTCAGAAATACACTCTAATTTCTTCCCCATCTGAACATTATAGCAAGCAGCTGGATTTCAGCGGGGGAGGGAGGGTGCACGGAGCAGGCTGCTGCCTCATCCCGTGTGGGCCGCGCCTTACCTTAGGGGCACACTGGATGTGGGTCCCGGGCACCGGGAGTGTGGTCACATACATGGTGATGCAGCGGTACAGGTACAGAGTCCCCAGGAGGAAGAAGAACCGGCGCCCCACGATGGACCTGGGGGGACAGTGGGACAAGTTGGCCGGCGCCCCTGCTTGCTAGGCGGCAGGAGGGGAGACACACAGGCCGGGGCCCCAGCACCAGCCCGGGGCCCTGGAGAACTCAGCAACCTCTGGGTCTTCAGTCCACTCGCCAGCGGAGAGGCCCCCACGAGACACGGCAAGGTGACAGCTGCAGCCGCCGGCACCGGGAAGCCGGCGACACGCAGTGCTGGACGCACCGGGAGACACCATGGCCTCTGAACTCGAGCCGGGTGAGCACGGTGCCTCTGGGCCCGACAGAGAGGCGTCTCGACAACCTGTTTTCCCTGATGAAACATTTTCAGGGAAATCCGATTTGAAGATGGCCAAGGTGGCCTGGGATATTTGAGGACATTTCCTAGGGAAGCCAGAGATGGACTGCTGTCTTTTATTCAGCCTTAATCAAAAAGGCAAAGAAAACATACCCAAAAATGGAAGTGCGAGGTTTTGCTCATGTATTTTGCAGTTTCTGGTAGAGAAGGCAGCGCGTGTGCACTGCGGCCCTGGTCATAATAGCCAGGAAACACGGCCAGCTGGGCGTGGTGGCGCATGCCTGTCATCCCAGCACTTGGGAGGCTGAGGCAGGAGAATCACTGTGAGTTTGAGGCCAGCCTGGGCTACACAATGAGACCCTGTCTCAAAATAAAGTATGATTTCTATATTTTGTGCATTAACTAAAAATAAATTTAAAACATTAAACAGATCAGTCAAGAAAGAGGCAAAAAAAGTGAAAAAACCCCCAGTGGTGACTCTGAGGCCACTGTCCTCCAGGAGAGGCTCCACCCAGAGCGTGTGGGTGACAGGCAACTTAGGGCAAAGCGGCTCTTCAATTTTCCCCAAGTCTGTGGTTCTGACATGGGTCAAAGTCTAATTCATGTCGGTGGTAGGGCTTCTAATTTTAAAAATTATGTACAAATGCATATTTAGCTGCCTGTCACCAATAGCTATTAAGACTATTCTAGGGTTTCTGGGATCAAAAAAAAAAAATCTAGTCTGGTAAATGAAGTATGTCTTTATTCCAAGGCTTGCTGCACCGACGCTGCCTTTTCTTTTTGTATTTTTTTAAATTTCAAAACAGGGTTTCACTAGGTAGTTCAAGCTGGCCTTGAATTCACTATGGAGCCCAGACTAGCCTTAGACTCAAAGGGATCCTCCTGCCTCAGCCTTCCCAGGGCTGGGATTACAGGTGTGCACTACCACACCCAGCCTGACTTCTTCAGTACAGAAAAGGAACAGGGGATCAACAGTGCTGCGTCCCTCCCCTCTACTAAGGGGGCAGCGGTTCACCTCAGATTTGAGCAGACCCCCAGCAGCGCGCTCAGTCACCAGATAGTAAGTGGGAGTGACAAGGAGTCTGCTGCCATTTGTTCCAGCACTGACTGCAGCCCTCTAGGGGCAGAGAATGAACGTAGGACACCGTGCTCCACAGCCTTACTTAGGGAAAGAATGACTGCTAATGTGTTTTTTCCCATAGCTTTAAAACGTGTTTTTGAGAGACAGAGACAGACAGACAGACAGGTGAGACAGAGAGAGACAGAGACAGCAGAGACAGAGAGACAGAGACAGGGAGAGAAGAGAGGAGAAAGGGAGAGGGGTGGGAGAGAGAGGCTTTCCCCACTGGCATCCTCCAAACAGGTTATATGAATTATTCCACCAGGCATTAGAGCATATGGCCTGATTCCACTGCAAAAGTAAAAAGGTCGGGGTGTGGTAGCACTGCCTGTAATCCCAGCACTTCGGAGGCTGAGGAAGGAGGATCACTGCAAGTTTGAGGCCCGCCTGGGCTACATAGCAAGACCCTGTCTCAAAAAGACAAAAAAACAAAAACGAAAAAGGTAAATCAGTATGATTTGCAATTGAAATGCCAGACAGCTGTCACTGCCAGGCTGGCCTGTCCGGCCCCTGGCCCTGCTGCACCCGAGGCAGTTATGTACGTAGTAAGAGCTGTGCCACTGGACAGCGATGAGATAACTGGGTGAAGGCCCACCTTCAGGGTTAAGCCCAGGGACCTCCCAAGCCCTGGAAATGTCTTTCCACATATACATGAAAAAGCTTCCTGCAAATTAAAGAGAAACAAACATCTAGGGGCCCAGCAGGAGCCTCTTACATTCAGTGTCCGTTCCAGATGCTGAAACACTAACTTTCAACAAATACATCCTTTGTTTTTAGTGCAAAGCACACTGCACCGAACAACTGCAGCACTCACTTCAGCTCCGCAGAAGACAGTGGACAGCCGCTTTCGACTCAGACACAGCAAGGAAACATCAGGGGAGCTACACCAGGGAAAGGCTCGGGCCGGCTCGGGCCTACAGGGTTGGTCTGCAAACCCAAAGCGGCAGAGACTGCAGGATCCCCTAGTCACAAGCAACGACCCACAGAAACGGAGGCAACAGGGACTCTCTCCCACAGGAAGGATAATTCCAGTAACACTGAATGCATTTGACCTCAAAGTTTTCAAGCTCAGTTTTTCAAGTCAGCACACATTATATTTCTGAATGTGCTATTTTTTATGGGGAGTATTTTGCTCACACTCCTATTTTATGGCTTCATTAGTAGAATCCTGGTAGAATGCAGACACCTGCGCCAGGGCTGAAGGGGACAGAGAGGCCTGGGGGGAATGGACTGAAGTCAGAACTCAGGAGGAGCAGAAGTAACTGCTTGGGAGTGAGCGCTTGGATCACTCGGATTTGCGAGGATCTTCAAAGCCCAGAGCTCTGCCGGCTGAGCCCTGGTCCCAAAACAGGCTGGAGGGGGTGGGGGGCGGAAGCTGGGCGGGAGGCAAGTTTACTTCACACACCGACACCCAAGCTGAGAGACCCTGCCCTGAGCTGGACCGCCAATAGGAAGGCAAAAGAATCCAACCCTGAGAGCTCTTCCCATGCCAGGAGGGGTCCTGGAATGCTGGCAGGGGAGGCCGGCTTCTCCACTCCAGGCCTCCAGCACGAGCCACAGCCCCAGATGAGGGAAGGCAGGACCCACACCCGGAAGCCATCAACCCTGAGGCACCGCCCCAGCCACAGGCTCTGGCCCCTCGCATGCACAGGTGCTCAGCAAACGTTTACTGAGTGGCAGCTGCATTTACTCTGTGGTGATCCACAGCTTTCTCGCATCGACTGTCTACACAAGACTGCACATTTATTTGGAAAAAAACTGAGAAAGGTCATCTCAAGTTACATATCTGCTCACTTAAAAACCAATCAGGCTGGGAGTGGTGGTGCACAACTGTCATCCTGGCATTCGGGAGGATGAGGCAGGCAGATGGCTGTGAGCTTCAGACCAACCTGGGCTAGGTAGTGAGATACCTGCCTCAAAAAAAACCAAAACAAAATAAAAAACAACAGCAAACCAAACACCCATAATAGACCTACTTACTTGTATCTCAGAAACAACCACTGCGTAATCCATAAACCAAGTAGGATGATCCCGTTCACTTCGGACACAAAGAATGCCCATTTCACGCGGTCAATATAGTCAAAGAACTTGTCCGGGAGAGGGGGGCTGAGCTCCTTGGGGGGCACCCGCTCGTGCACCACGGTGATCATGATGGTGGTCAGGACCAGGCTGAAGAGCGCGTACACCAAGGCGATGCCGGTCTTCCACCACTCCAGGGGGAACTTGCTCCTGGCGTCGGTCGCTATGGCGATCTGGATGTAGTCGGGGTACTTCCGGGCTCCCTTCCGCAGCGCGCCTGCTGGGCTGGGGGCTTTGTCCTTGCCGTCCTTGCTCCCCTCCTCGGCAGGCTCTGCGGGGCCTGGGTAAGTGCTCCGGGCATTGCTGCTTTGATTTTCCAAATCTTCTTCAAGTTTTGCCGTCTCTATGGTATCCATGGTCCTCCAGGCTCTAATGCAAGGAGGACTGGCTGACCTCTGGGTCTCTGTGGAAGTGTGACTTTTTCAGTCCTTCTGTTTCCCAGGTCAACATGGACTCTCAGGATCGCTCCTGTTTCCCAGCATTAAGTGTAGACGGGGCATCTCCTGCTTCCCCTGCACAGTTACCTGCTGGGCTCCCTGACTTCACAAAAGGAAGCCAGCCAGTTGTCCTTCCCCCGAACAATGCCACGATCCCACCTAAAAACAAAGGCAAATTATGGTCACAACTGATGCTTGGCCAATGATCAACCACGAGGAACAAAAACATTCTCAAAATAAGGAAACAGGCGCCAAAGCCACTGGCTCTACAAAATAGCTCACGCTGAGAGTCAGCTGGTTTACAAAAGAGTGAACTGTTTCACCGCTTCTTGTCTCTTTTTGAGCTGAGGTCAGTATAAAAAGGAACGTTTTAACAATTCCCTTTAAATTCCCTTGAATGGAAGTCAGGCCCCAACATGGAAAACGTTCCGCTGGACGCTCACTTTGCTGGTTTCTGACCAAGAAGTCAGAATAAGCAGGAACCTGCCCTGAGCTCCAACTTTCCTTCAGGGGACTGTCTTTCCTAAGAACCTTGAAGAAAAGGTTAGACACCCTGGTAAGCCAGGCTGGGTGGCCCACGCCTGTGATCCCAGAGCTTGGGAGACTGAGGCAGGAGGATCGCCATGAATTCTCTCTCGAGGTCAGCCGGGAGTACAGACTGAGATGAAAAAAACCCAGAACAAAACAAAAAACAAACCCGGGTGAGTTACTTACATGTACTGAATAATTGCTACTCTCTCCATGTGCCTTGTTAAATAAACTGGAGTCTTTTGGCAATAAAGAACAGACTCCAGGGAAGCACATTCAAGGTATTTCCAAGGGTGTTGCCTCAGTTTACCCTTTTATATTCGGGGACGCACATTTTAGCCGAGGAAGGTTGGCATCCTTCAAAGTAACAGTGCAATGCTGCGGAGCAAGCAGGATCTGCTGGCAGGGTAAAACACACCACGGCGGCCCAGGCCAGCTAGCGGCTGACAGCGCCTCCCTCCTAGGGCCGGGGCCACTCACCACACAGACAGGATGCGAACGGCAGGAAGCGTCCGGCCCGGAGCCCCGCAGGCTCCAGCCAGGCTTCTCCGTCGCCTCCTCTTATCCCCGAGGCGGCGCCGCCCAGCTGCTCCCGATTTAGGAGCGGGTATTTCAGTCCCGCTGGGAGCCACCACCTGCGGAGGGAGGGCTGCAAACCCCGCAATTACTCCCAACCAGGCCCGGCACAACTTTAGCAAAATCCCTCCACCATGAAAGGCTGTGGCAGGGTCACTTCAGGAAAAAATAAGCAGGAGGGATAACACCGTGTAGTGACAGCTCAGCCTTTATTTAGGGACAGAAAAGGAAAGCAGTCCAGGCGGCCGGCAGCGTGTGCGGGCAGGGCTGCGGCAACACCAAGGGGCGCGGGGCGTGGCCAGCGCGTCCCCGGCCTACTCTCAGTGTGGCGGACGTGGGGGACTGAGGAGCAGCTTAAGTCCCAAACCACGGGCCCCACTCACAGTGCCTCAGTGTCCCTGCAGACATGGGGCCCCAAGGACCGCGTTGTAGAGGCTGGAGCGACTTTGGAGGGCGCCTGGCCACCAGGCAGAACCAGATGTCCCTGTGGCACACTCTGCTGTCCTGGCAGAGCTGTTCCCACAGCCACTGTCCCTGCCTAGGAGGCCAGGGAAGTCGGCCTGGGGGTGTCACCGACTTCCCACCCCTCCTCCCCCTTGTCCCTCCACTACTGGCACATTAGAGCAGGAGGGGAAAATCCAGTATGGAGCCAGGCGTGATGTTACAGGCCTATAGTCCCAACATTCAGGAGGCTGAGGCAGAAGAGTCCCTGCAAGTTTGAGGCCACCCTGGAAGTACAGTGACCAGATGACTCGGTGTGGCATTTTCACCACCACAGACTCTGACGCCAAGCAGAGGTCTTGCTAGCTATTCTAGGCTGGTCTTGAACTCACTTTGTACCCAGGATGGCCTCTTAACTCACAGCGATCCTCCTGCCTCAGCCTCCGGAGTGCTGAGAAGACCACACCCGGTAGCACTCACAGCTTCTGGCCAAGCCAGTGAACAGATTACCTCAATTCTCCCCACATGTGGTAGCCTGGCTGCCTACCGCAGGCGGCTGAGTTAAACCCCTGTTTCCCCAGTGGACAGCAGGTGGGCTCTATGTCTGCACCAGTTCTAGAACACAGAATGCGGAACGAGAGAAAATCCAATTAACTCCTTTTTCTTTAAGCGGAAGCACTCAGGCACCCACCCCGGGGACTCCTGGAAGGTGACTGAAGTAATTAATCACAGGAGCTCCGCGCCCTGGGAGCGCGATGCCTGTTTAGTGTCATCAGCGGGAGGATTGACGCGTCCCTGGGATTTCATTAAGAAGACTAAAGGGATGGAGCGCACTCCTCTGTCAGTCGGGCTCGGGACGAAGGCCACACGTAGAACCTGCTCGTTACAGTCATCCTTTCCCCCAGCATCGGGAAGCAACGTGCTGGAGCCAGGAGGGTCCCCTCGATGGACAGGTGCGCACAAGTGCAGGTACGCCGGCCAGGGTGAAGGCAGGGGCCAGAAGCCGGTCCGCATTGAGGGACAGGACAGCTGGGATCAGCTCCTCAGAGAGCAGAGGGCAGAAGTGTTCAGTAGACAAGAGATTGTTTCCTATGTTAAATATTTCTACCAACAAGTTCTTAGAAACTGCAAAGAAGACACACTGCTTACTAAAACTTATGTGTGACATCCTTCCCAGCAACAGTAACCCAGAAGAGTGTCCTTGTCACTGTGTGTGTTTTGTCCTACCCCCAGATACCCATCTTTTCAATAGGATTTAATTTTTTTAAATATGCATTTATTTTTGATACTGGGCATGGAACCCAGGGCCTTTGCACTGAGCTACACGCCCTGCCCTTTTTAGTTTCTGTGTTGAGACAGGGCCTGGCTAAATCACTAAATTGTCCAGGCTGCGCCTGAACTTGCCATCCTCCTGCCTCAGCCTCCCAGAGTGCTAGGATGATAGGCACGTACTGACTACACCTGGCTCTCATCACACATTTCTGTGCTGCCACGAGGTTCCACGTCTTTTTGCAGGAATATGCCTGGCCGGGGAGAAGAGGTTTTGGTTGCTGGCACTCAAACCGGCCCTTTCTAAGGGAGAGGGTCAACCTTAGTAGCTTCCCTAGAGACCGACACCAGCTCCTACCAGCTGGACAGTGATCAGCGTTCAAGGGAAGGAGGGTGGGCTGGGTCTGGCCTGCAAACAACTGGAAACACTGCACCGAGGCGGCCCAGTTTTGTAAACTTACTACAAATCATTTGCCCTTAAATGAATGTTCTTGATATTGAATTACAGTGACACAGTCTGCGGCTGACCTGTTTCTGTATAACTAGAAATCAAGCAATACTCAGACACTCCCTGTGCGCTGCTGGCTCCCGAAGCCTCTGCGCCTTCCCAGGCCTTCAAGGCATCTTCACCAGGAGCTGAGCTCTTCCGAAGTGACTGCGATATCTCATGCATTTCCACAGCCCAGGCAAGGGCCAGTCAATAAAAAGCAAATGTGTAACAAAACTTATGTAAACTGTGCTCCAAAAATAAATGTGTGGCTAAACAATGTGAAGTTACAAAAAACAGAAGTCTTCTAATAGAAGTTATCAAAATTCACCCCAAGTTAGATTACAGAGGCTTTTTAATCATGGGGGGGGCGGGGCCTGGGGCCTAGGCCTGTGAGTTAAAAGAGAAAAATAATCTTTCTCACTAAAAAAAGAAACTGGTCACTTTGAACAGCTGAAAGGAATCCTCACCCAGAACAAGTATTAGCTGTGCAAGTTTCCAGACAGTAAACAGTGAGGCTCAGGCGCTGCACAAGCAGGGGGCACGGTCCTCACAGCCACCTGCTTTGGCTAAGCTGAAACTGCACAGTACCTGCAAGGAACCTGCACTTCCAAAATATTCAGTAAGATTTCTTGTTTGGTTTTATTTTTTGAGGCAGGGTCCCGCTACATATTCCAGGCTGGCCTCGAACTCACTGTGAGCCTCTTGCCTCAGCATCCTCAAGTGCTGGGATTGCAGGGCTGAGCCGGCACCACGCCCAGTCAGGATGTTTTGGTAGTCTGTGTCCTGCCCGTTCGTCTTTGTATTGGTGACTGGAGAAACCTGATGGTCAGAGCTGATTACCAGATCACCAGGGGGTAGTGGCCGGGAAGCAGAGTGCAGACAAAGCTCCCGATGTCCCCCAGGTCACCTCCATGGCCACCCGGACACACCTGGAAGTGCACTTTCCTAGTCCCCAGGCATCACCAGGGGCCCACTGAGTTGACCATGAAGGTTAACATCAGAGGTAGAAGCCAGGCAGGGCCCGAAGCAGAAGGGCACCCTGGACTCTGCTCATAGCTGGAAACCCCTGGATATGGGAGGGGAAAACATGTAGCCTAGACTGGCCTTGACCCTGCAGAGATCCTCCTGCCTCAGCCTCCCAAGTATTGGAATTATAGATGTGTACCCCTGCCCTAGGGTTCCAGCCACTATTCTAAGGAGAAAATACTAGCACTAACACAGTACTTAAATACATTTTGAAATTAGTAGCAGGAAATAAATTTTGAAATTAGTAGCAGGATTTTTTTGTTTGTTTTGTTTTTTGAGACAGGGTCTCACTATGCAGAGCCTAGGCTAGCCTTGAGCTCCCTGTGCAGCCCAGGCTGGCCTTGAACCTGCAGTAACCCTCCTGCCTCAGCCTCACGAGTGCTGGGATTACACACATGCACCAGCACACCTGGCTAATAGCAGGACTTTTAGAGGGTACCTGTAGTAGATCGCTGCTGCAGAGTGACAAGAACAGACCTAGGGGAGTCCGTTTCTAGGCCTAGAACTCGCCAGGGTAAGTGCAGCGGCCCGGATGGGAGCAGCAGACCATCAGTGTTGTGCAGCTGGGCTGTTAAGAGGCCAGCTTCTGATAAGCCAGCTGTGCACAGCAGCAAGTGACCCTCAGCCCTGCCCAGTGTGGGCCGCATAGTTCAAGGCCAGCCTGAACTACAGTGAAACCTTATCTCAAAACAAACAAATAAAAGAATAAAAGACTTTAATAATTTTCTACTTTAACACAGCTCCTTGATTGCCCCTCGGGTTAGTTTACAAACCCATCTATTGATTTCTCTCTCCACCGCACAGTGACTGAACAGTGTGTCTACTTCCT